TTTTTATTTGCTTCCCCCCTCCCCTTCATTACAATGCCCCCCCCACCAAATTAGCATCAGGGGGATTTGCTGTTTTCCCCCTCTTCTTTCATTTTAGTGTAACCTTACTGTTGTATTTATGGCCACAGGGATGGTTTCTGAAACTAGGTGTCCCCAGGGAGCCAAAATCACCTCCAAATGGCTGATCAGCCCCTTTCCCCATTTATGCAAGGAGACGGTAAGCACAGGTTGACCACTTACTATGTGCAGGCCCCTGTAGGCGGACACTTTAAGAGTCTCCCACGCCCTGAGTGAAACATAAACCTCACTGAAATGCATTTGTCATTTCTTATAAAATAAAGATGTACAAACAGTATGACAGAAAACTGGCCCACTTTCCATCCCATAAGAGCAAAATGTTCTCCAAGAACAAGCAAAGTGAATACATGAAAGCACTGGCCAGCTTATTAGGAAGCATCACAGAAAATGATAGTAGGGAGAACATTCTTCAGCAGGGGCTATTTGGAAGTCCCAGGCTGCCTCTTCTGGCTCTCACTTTAATGTACATGCAGGAAATGAAAATGGACTTTAGTCCATGATTAAAATGCAATGTGGTCTATCCAAAGTCAAGAACTCATGAGGTTTGCATGCTGCAGGCTGCAATTCTCTCTCCAGAAACCTTCCAACGTGCGCTCTTTGCCACTGGAGTCTAAGAGATGAGTGGAGGAACCTACAATACCCAATATTTTCTTCTTTTATTTAGACTTGAATATCCCTGCCTCAAGGGCCCTCTTGTACATCTTCTAATAAATTCTGGATAATAACTGGCATTAACCTGGAACTTGCACTGTATTCAGGAAACAAACAAACAAACAAACAAACAAGGGGAAAACAGAACAAACCCAGACTTCTTAATACGTAAAGATGAATCACAAGAAAGTAGAGAACATTTCTTCATGCTTTCTATTTGTAACAAAGCCATATAATTTCAAAAGTATATCTGGCTTTCAACTGCAGATTAAAAGCATATTCATACTATGGCTTTTTACTCCATAATAGCATGTAGCTTTGAATTAAAAAAACAACAACAAAAGAATCTTTATATTTGGAGGTCTCTAAATTTCTTCAAAAAAGTTTATGTACATAGCACAATTATACTGCACTTCAACATAACAGAAATCCTTCTGAAAACTTGTAAGTTGAAATTTCTGAATAATAAATCTAATTTTCATTATATCAAAGTGTTTGGGGTACAAAGAAAATAAAAATCTATCCATCCATTCAGTTCTGGAGACTTTGTTTAAGAGAACCCATGCTGAATACTTTCTAGTTGTACTATTACTTTTATAAAATGATGATGACTTTCAGCAACTTCCTATAAATGATTTTAAATAAATAAGAATTTTAAGGTACCTATTAAATCATGATACAACTAAATGTTTACTCATTTAAAAATATCTCAAAAGTACAATATAATGCTTTTTTCTGATAAGCCTGTTTACATGGCCCAATCTGCATAAAATGCTATAAATGTGACTATTTCCACTTTCAACTGAAAATAAACCAGGAATTAATTTCGATCACTTTCTCTCCTTTAAATATCCTCAAAGAATAGCTAAACCACATATATTGGCATTTTGTAAAGATAGACTAAGACAGGAAAAAACTGGCAAACTTTCCCTATAAGGCCAGAGAGTGAATACTTTCGTTTCTGTGAGTCATGATCTCTGTTGCAACTACTCAGCTATGCCACACAGTGTGAAAACAGCCACAGACAACACACAAACAAATGCGCAAAGCAATGTCCCAATAAAACTTTATATACAAAAACAGATGGCGGACTGGTTTTGATCCCCCCCTAATGTAGTTTGCTGACGCCTGGTCTAGACTTTCTCTACCATTTTAAGTGAACTTTTTTCTAGGTGTAGATCTCTCAGATGATAATAAATTCACAATGAAGTCGATCTGACAAATGATTAATACAGGAGCACAAAGTGATGGTTATCCAATTGAACAAGAGAAAACTGTAAAAAAATCCTAATCTCACATGATGCTGAATTTCCTTAAGATACTACTACTTTATTCCATATGGAACAGCACATAAAATGCAACAGAAGCTACCAGGGGAATAACAGTTATTAAAAGGGTCCAGAACCTAATTAGGAAGGGAACCTCTTATAGCACAGGAAATAGTTCTAAAAAATAAATGACTACACCGAGGTCTGATTTTCTTCTAAATGTCCTATATTTCTTTTAACTACTGAGGGTTGTGGCCAATGAGAAAGTCACTCTGGACATCAAGTCAAAAAGGCACGTCACCAGCACCACCACCCTTCGCTTTGGTCCACAACCACAGAGATACCTGCTCACACAGAAAAGTCGTTTTATTTTCCAAGAGGGACTAGAATTGGGCCATGTTTGCCATTGTCATGGCCAGAGGCTGGGGCCCAAACTGAAGTACTGAGGCTTTATCTCTAGCGGACAGTGCCAAGTTCGGGGATTGCTGTCATTATGTCCATTTGGAAGGATTCACTCGGGCAGGCTGCCCAGGACCAAAGCTTTAACTCGCTGAACGGATGAGCTTCGATCAGGGAGCTGAGAGAGCGGGTCGATGTGGCCGCTGCCGTCAAAGAAGCCCGGGGCACTTTTCAAGGTTCAGCAACTATGCATTTTGGAGCTGTGAACATGCTCCTGGTGTTGTGTCTCTTTCAGCAAACATCTAGAATCCATCTAAATATTAGGGCCTGCCTTATGGGTGAGCTGAAGTCAGGGACTATGTAGGTTGACCTGATACCATTTCCCTCTTACTGAACAAAATTAGAATATGGGGAATTGACAAAATGAGGAATACTTTTATAGATACCTACTAATGGCCATTAAAATAATAGGCTAGGCTTTATGTTTACACAGATATTCACTTATCTACCAAATATAGATTTGAAATAAATATAAAATATTTTGTAATATACTATAGGATGGGCAATTTGCAGTAATATAATAAAGACCAGAAAACTTGTCTCTACACTAATGGTTTTTACATTAGAAGGTTTGCATGCCAGGAATCCTTGCTATCTCATATTCAGTGTTGGCAAAACAAATTAAAATGTCATAAAATTCTTAATTTTCAGCCCCATTTCTTTAAAAAAAATCATCTATTTTAAGTTCTCATAATTGGTGAATTTCTGTATCAATCTTAGTTCCCTAATTTTATAGCCCTCACAGTATTTAGTCAGATAAAGTGTTAAAAGTCCTTAGAGATTTATTACTCTGCATTAATTTTACACATTTCTATAAATGATATACTCATAGTGAAGTGGAGCAGTGACCAGAAACCAGCTCTGCAGAACATCAATAGCTATGGTGGTGTTTTACAAATTGCATGGCTCTGCACAATTAAAGCTGGTCATTGTTCAATGTCAGGCCAGCCGATTTGAAATCTGAGTTTGGTTTCTAAGACCTGAGAGAACAAGTGATCATTAGTTTTGAGGAAGTAATGTATATCCTTCATCCATAAACCGGTGAGGGCTCAAATGGGCTGAGGGGAATGTTTTAGATCCAGAAATCAAACCAGAAAAGAGGGGGTCATAGTATATGTCAGGTTCCACTTAAGAGTGTTTTGGCAAAATTGACACAGTGACGCATTGGAAGCATGGGAACTGCACCTACAGAAGCCGAGACTCAAGATAAGTGTGTACTTCTCCAGAAAAAAAAAGGGGAAAAAAATAACAGGAATGAATATTTATATATTTATATATATAATGTTATACTTTGCCCTGTAGTTACAGAACAAAAATCGGGCAGTCCTCATGTCATAAGGAAGAGGAGAGTTTGCCAGCACAAAATACACCTTTGTGAGGATATTGATTATTTTAAGCTGGTTATTTTTAAGAAACAAAAGACTCAGGAAGAAACTCTGACCTTCCGCCTGACTGCCTAAAAGAATTTAGTTAGAGGAGCTGCTCCAGGAAGCGAGCTAGCATCACAGATAACTGTACTTTAATATGAACCAGTGTGTAGGCCTAGCAAGGCCCACTGTAGATCAAATCCTACCTCTGTCCCATTGTTAAAGATGATCCAGCAAATATTTGTTTACCAAACATTTGCTTTGCATCTCCATGTGAACTGCCTTCTCCCCTTTGAAGTCCAACCACTACTGTCCTTTCTCCTTAGCTCCAGAATGGCATATAAACCTCAACCGGCCATTTGTCCTAGGGCCCCATATTCTTCTGGAACCCCCCTAAGTAAAGAGGCAATAAATTTGGTTATTTTCAATTTAATTCTTAGGCCAGTCAGAAGAACTAAGAGGGGAAAAGGGGGAAATTTAGATTTGCAGCCCTCCACACCCTACCATAAAATCAAGTCCAAAATGATTATACAACACAGGAACTAAATTCAAATCCTTTTTCAAGGTATTTTTATTAGCTGGCTCTGACCGGAGTTTTCAATGTCTGTAAATGCTTAGTATTCTGCAGAATTGTGCCACTTATTTTACAGTCTAACATGACACAGTTCTGAAATTGCCACTGCATTATGAAAATTATATGGGCTACATTATAACTGCCAAACCAGAGAATTCCCATTCCCTTAGGGAATTCATGGTAAAAATTGACTTCCGATTTTCAGGAAAGGCAAAATCTTAATGATGACACATTTCCCACACTTTTGAGCCAAGGTCAATGTACCACATCAGTACCTAAAGCTTTTCCTCCATCCGTCTCATTTCAAAACCTTTAACTTGTCAAACACTGCCTAATTCATTTATCTGTAGGTGCTGTTTATAAACTGAGATTAGTTCTATTGCATGTAAATTCCTAGCACACAATTGCCACTTCTGGCCAATTAGATATAATTAAAAAGCAATGAAGAAACAGATTTTTAACCTTAAAATTTAACTCCCAGTTTAGGTGGGGTAGTACTTCCCTAAATGTATCCTAATGTTTTAAGGCAGGATTCTCACTTTTCTATATCACAAATTAAAATATTGATTTTGAATAAATTTTTAAAATCTTCACCCAGGGATATGTTTTTATTGATTTTTGCACAGAGAGAGAAATCCATCAGTTGCCTCACAAACGCCACCTTTTGGTGTATGGGACGACTGTCCAACCAACTGAGCCACCTGGACAGGGTTGATTTTTAATACCTTTTATAATCACATTCAAATCTGACAGACAGGCACTTATGTTTTCACTTCTGAATTCTCCAAAAGAAAATGATATGACC